GTATTATTGATCAAGTTGTTCTTTCATCTCCATTAGGTAAAATTGAAACACCAAATGCAAAAAAACGTCATCGTCGTGCACAACAAACAAATCCATCAAATTTAATAAATAATTCTACAACACCAAAATTAATATTAAATAATAATGGTGGTGATGATGATGGAGATGAAAATGTTTTTATTATTGTTTCATTAGATAAACAATGGTATTTTGAAGCACAATCAAATGAAGAACGTGATGAATGGGTACAAGCTCTTGAACAACAAATTTTATTTAGTTTACAAAATATTGAATCATCAAAAGCAGCACGTGCAGCTAAAATTGGTGGACCAACTATGGCTGATTCAGCATCAATACAAACAATTAAACAAATATTAGGAAATGGTTTTTGTGCAGATTGTGAACAAATAAGTAAGGAAAGAAAATAAAAATTTTAATTATTTTTTTGTTTTTTTTATATATTAAGATCCAACATGGGCTTCATTAAATCTTGGAGCTTTAATTTGTATGGATTGTGCATCATTACATCGAAATCTTGGAACACATTTATCACGTGTTCGTTCATTAGAACTTGATGAATGGCCGTAAGAGATTATTCTTTTTTTTTGCTCGTTCAAAAAAAAAAAAAAAACATTTTTTTGTTTTATTTTCTTTTATTTAAAAGACCTGAACTTGTACAAATAATGCGTTCAATTGGAAATAAACTTGCTAATTCAATATGGGAAGCTAATATTAAGAATCGAGTTAAACCACAACCAAATGCTTTATCGTATGGTTTTTTTTTATTAATGAGTATTTTTTTAAATATTTTTCATGGGTTTTTTTTTTGCTAAGATCTGAACGTGAACGATGGATTCGTGATAAATATGAACAAAAATTATTTCTTGCATCCTTGAATATTTCGCCTTCTTTAATACGACAATCATTTATTGATGCTATTCATAAAACAGATCTTTATACAATTATACTTATATTAGCACATAGAAAATTATCAAATGAAGATATTAATTCTTCATTATTACATCTAGCTGCTTCACAAGGAAATGTTACTATTTTACAACTTCTACTTTGGGTAACAACAAAAAAAAAAATAACAAAATTTTTTGAAAAAAAAAATCAATCAATTGTTTTTCTTTTATCTACAGTAAAATATCTCTAATGTGAACATTATGAGGACTGTTAAAAACCGTTTACTAGACACATGGGCTGCTGTAAAATGAAGAAAAACTTCTAAGATATTTGCATTTACAAGGAAATAATCGCAAATGTATGTTTCCGTATTCGATCAACTCTATGTCAGTTATCGAAAGTAGAGATTCACACTTAAGGATCATCCATCATTTGATTAATGGTCTAATGATTTTTTTCTGTTGTTCATCTAAATGATTCTCATTGAAAGATTTTCACAATTACAATATTAGATTTAGTGTTTGTTTTTTTTTGTCTCTTTTTACTTTTGAATTAATATCGATATCAATTTAGTTTTTGATGTTAATCTAATAATTAATTCTATTTTCAAACTTAGCTCATATCGTGATATCATTACTGTATTATTTAACTGATTATTTTATAGAAGATATAGAAATCTCTTTAGTTTTTTTTCTTCTCTATTACAAATAATATTAAGAAAATTTTGTTAGATTTTAGTTATATTATCAACTATCGGTAATTGATATTATGAAAATCTTAATTATAGTTAAGAAATATTGAATGAGAATTTTTATCATTTACTATTTCATCTTCATAATAATAGTGAATAACTGAAAAGATTTCGTATTGAAATATTTTGTGTTAAACTTCTTAGAATTTAAAATTTTCAGAAGTTATTTCTTATAATTCGAATAAAAAATTTGTAATCATCAATTATGATTATTAAAATCTCTTAAATTTAATTATTCATCTTCTTCTTTATCAGAATAGAAAAAAAAAATTGAACATAAATTTTCAACTATAATTTAAAATTCTTTTTTGTTTTTTTAATTTTAGTATGGTGCTGATGCATTCGCTATTGATAGCAATGGTCGTACACCTCTTCAATGTGCTCAAGGTGATTGTATTCAAATTCTTCAAACATTAACTAATAATAATACAGATTTACATTTAAATTCTCAACAAATAAAACCAATATCAATATCTCCTCAACATAGTACAATACCTCGTCAACGTCCACCAGCATCATCACCTGGTCCACCTTATGATAAACTTCCATCAACTGTTATTTAATTTTTATATTTATGTTCAGATATCAATTTTGTTGTGTCTTGTATTTATGGTACGATCGTTTTTCTTTCTCATTTTGTGCAATTATCTAACATTTTGTTGTTGTTGTTTTTTCTTGTCTAATATCTGAAGAAAGAAAAAGAAAAAAGCAGAATTCTTTGTTAAATAACTCTTTATCATTTGTTAGCATGTTCCTTTTTCTTTTGTAATATTTCATGGTGTTATTATTCTTGTTCTCGTTTTCTTATTACTCTAAATTCACGTTTATTATCTGTCTGACTTATTCTAATCTCTTTCATCCTTCTCCTTTCTGTTTTTTTTTGTTGCGTTTGTACCGTACATACAGAAGAAAAAAAAAAATGTAACGACTCAAATTTTTGTATATAAAAAAATTGCATTTTTTTTTTTTTTGGTGTTCTCAGTTATAAAATATTGATTGTATCTAGGACAAAAAAAAATTATGGACATACTTATATATTTGTTGCTCTTCAGATTTATTATTTGAATAAAACAATATTCAAAATAACTAATGTTAAAAGTAAGATGAGAAATATTTTCTTGATTAATATTGAAATTGACCTGTCATTACCGCTGATTGTTTGTAAAGCTTAATGATTTTTATTAATAAATGTTCTAATTGAAAGAACAAAAAAATAATAATAATGATTTAAGGATGAATTGCTGATCTATAATATATGAAAAAAGTTAATTTGAAAAAAAATGCTTTGATATTGTGAATGGTCAGTTTAACTGATCTCGTATCAGAATTATCAATAGACAAAAGTCAAATTTTTTTGAAGATGTGATTCAATTAGAACTTACATATCATATGCAATATCCTGGGAGATCTTAAAAAAACATAGTAAATGTTTCTTGAAACCATTAACAAGGATGTATCAGGTAGTTCAGAAAACGTCATTTTGTCGTTTAAATCGGTATGCGTTGTTCCAAAATTATCATTTATCATACGTAAATGTCGTTTCAAAGTAGAAAATAGACCTTTATAAATGGCATCGAAACTTTATTGTATATATGTAGTGATTAAATACACATAGTAACTTTTCAATACTGTCTTGCTTCGAAACAGTATTTAAGTATGACACACAGTAACTTTGGACAATACATGGTAGTTTAAATAACAAAATATCGTTTCCTGGACTTGCTGTACTTAATGAATTTATCAAAACCATTTCATGATGGTAAATAGATTTCTTCGAAATTAATCAAAGATTTATGCTCAATTTTATTGTTTAGATGTTACTTTGCATAATTTTGGATTCTATCAATTAAATGTTATATTTATATATATAAAGACCAATCTAATTCAAGTGAACATTAAATTGCATCGATTCATCGTAATCAAAATAACGAAAAATTATTATTTTTTTTCTAATGTTTTTATTCTTTTAGATGAATGACTTATGTTTAACAATGAAAATATGACATTGAATATGATAATATTAACAAATGAATAAAAACTCAAATTAAATTGAACTTTTTTTGTTTATTTATTTTTGTTATTAAGTTTACTTTTTGAAGAAGAAAAAAATAAACAAGAATAATAATCTATTAATTAAAGGAAAAATAATAAATTTGTTTTTTTTTGTTGTTGTATCTATTGTTTTAATGTTAATCCTTGAATTGAATTCCGAACTATGGTAGAACAATATATAAAATCGAAGCAAAATGTTAAACACATTGATGTGTTTCCAATATTTTCTCGAAGGTAATAGTTGAGACGAATTGGAAAAAATGTTTTAAGTAACTGAAAGGATTTTCTATGAAGACAAATGTATTTTCGTCTTCTAAGATCTCGACAGAAAAAAAAAAGCTTTTTGAATTTGATTGAAACTCTTTTCACAAATATTTAGGTGCATAGTGAGATGTTACCGGATTCTTCGTTACTCTGAATTTATTTGCAAAATATTTCCGATCGAATTCAAAAAGTTGATTTTTTTTCAAGATCCAAGAAGACAGTTTTTCTAAAAATTTTAATGAAAGAAGCAAGAAAAATACATCTCTTCATGGAAAATTCTTTCAGCTATTCAAATCTTTTTTAGATTTGTCCTAATGTTATAGGGATGCACAAATTCCTGAACTATTATTTCAAAGATAACTTTTTTTTTGTATTGAGAATTCATTGCCACATCAATTTTTTTATAACAGCTCCACTCAATTTTGATTACTATATCCGAAGCTATCATTATATTTCATCGAATCTTAAAAATAAGATTCAGAATTAGTCGCAATTTATGAGTTTTAAGACTATGGTATTGGGTAAAGCATTTAAAGTTAATCACTATTACTATGAATAGCTGACGAAAATTTGAAGGTCTGAGTACTGATGTATCTATTTCAACCAATTTGGAGAGGTTCGATTCAAAAGTAATGTATTTGTAGTACTGAGAATTTTCATATCAGTTTTGATTAAGTTTAAATGCTTAGTCCAATGCAATTGCAATTTCTTTGAATAGTTAAAATAGGGTTGCAATATTAGTTAGATTTTCTCTTAAAACTCATAAATTTCGATCAATTCTGAACTTCGTTTTTAAGATTTAATGAAATCTAATGATAGCAGTCAGGTAGAGCAATCAAAATTAAGCAGAACGATAATGAATTCTTAATACTTAAAAAAAAAACCCATCTTTGAAACTAGAGCTCATGAATTGGTACATCCCTATCTAGTTAATAAAATTTAAAAAAATATCTGAAAAATATAAGTATATTAAACTCTTTTGTTTCTACTTTAGTTTAATCAATTACAGAATAAACAAAATATAATGAATACAAATTATTTTATTGAACTTCAACATAAATTTGAAACATTTCAACGACCTTTTGGTTTTAATTATATACATTTTTTACTTATACATCTATACAATTCATCATCATCGGCTACTACAATTATAAAAACCTATCCATTATATACAGTTTTTACACGTCTTCAACGTAGACTTAATTTATATGAACAAGAACAAAATAATTATCAATCAATAATTGATGCAATTATTTTTATTTTATCAAAAAATAATGTTTGTCTTACTGAAACAGTTGAACAAACAAAGTTGAATATGAATATATATCCAATATCATGTCTATTTCGATTATATTCACCAATGCATCTTATTTTATTTATGGAACCATTAATTTTATTAAATGATGAACGATTAAATAATATAATAAAACAAATATTTATTAATGAATATATAAAAGACAAATGTGATTATATTCATTTTTGTATTGCTCATAGAAAAATCAAATTACTTATAAATTTATTATCTGGAAATATTCAACCAAATGAAAATGATGATAATTGGTTAATTACAAAGATTAATGCACCAAGTGATAGATCATGGTTACCTATTCATTATGTAAGTTTTTTTATTTCATAGTAGAACTAAGATAAGAATTAAATTCTGATGAATCAATTTTTGACAAGATCAAATCTAATGGATTTTATATAATAATAAATTTATTACATCCGAAAAGTTAGACTCCTGAAGAATTATTTCTGGTAGAATATTCTTTTACCTTAAGATATCAAAGGTTTCTTATTCTTCGAAGTACAAATCTATTCTAACACAATAGCATAAAAATTACAATGTAATCAATAGTGAAATAAACAAGTATTTTTACTTCAAGATTTTTGTAACGATTTTTCAAGTACTTTGATATTGTTTGTTTTTATGAGAAATAGAATTGAATATTAGAATTGTGTAGAATTACTCTTATCCTACCCTGCAGGATAGGGTAACCATGGATATCTCTAAAAATATATATATCAATATATTTCTGTATTTAAAATTAGGCATCATATGTTGGTGATCATGATTTAGTTGAAAAATTATGTACACAATATTCTCAATTGATGGATCCTTTTCATTTTATTTTACCAAAATCACGAATGCGTGATTTTTCTGATAATCCATTTGATTATCTATTACGTGCTAGTGGAATGAAATCAACTGCTTCAAATTTAGGCAATACTGTACTTAATCTTCATGAAGATATTGATGATGATTCTCCAATTTTACCTATGATGAATAATGATGAAGATGATGATGAATTTCTTTTATCATCTCGAGTTACAGTTCAACAAAAGGATAGTTTTACAGATGAAGAAACTATACAAGTTGAAGATACAGATATTCCAGATGCTGATCAACTTGGTATGTAAAAACAAGAAATATAAATTTTCCTTGATTATTGATTCTTTTTTTATTTAATCTAAATTATTGTGAAACATAATTTAAAAGAAGTGTTGAAGTATATAACATAGAAATTTGTATCCCGTACAGACGTTGTTGATTTAAGAATCACAGATTATATATCAATAACATCTTCGTTATTGTATTTCTGAATAATGTTTTAATCCTGAAAGGATTATGCTAACAATTTTTCTGTTTGTTTTTTTTTTTTTATAGAATCCTCAATGCAATTTTCACGTGATATACTTCTTCGTTCATTAATTAAACATGAAAAAGGTATAGTTTATTTAATTCCATCACCATTATTACTTGCATCAGCATGTCCACTTAATGATGATCAATATAAAGAATCTTATTATAAAATAATAAAATATCTTCTAAATTCTAAATTAATTGATATTGATGGTTTAAATCATAATTCTTTAACAAAAAATACAATTGATTATTTTTCTCGTCATCAATATGCAAATTTTATTCGTACAACATCAATACCATATATTTATTATCAATGTGATGCATTATTTACTTCAACATTACCAATGCATAAAAGTCATATTAGTCAAATAAATGATGATGATGATGATGATGAACAACAACCAATATCAAAATTAATCTATTTTATAACTATACTTAATCAACATTCATTATTTTTACATTATGAAAATTTTGATCAATATCTTCTTCAACATTTACTTGATTTACATTCATATCATATTGAAAAAGCATTTGGATATAAAATTATATTTAATCAATATATAAAAGGTATTATTATTGAATATGAACAAATTAATGAATTAACATATCATATTCTTATACGTTATAATATATATAATGAAAATGATTTAATTCAAATTGATATAAATTTTTTTTTTATGAATTCTTATATTGATCAATTTGCTGATACATATATATCAATTTTTCATACACCTATTACAATGGCAATTCAAAATAATTGTATATCAATTGTTGATATATTACTTTCAAATATATCTTTTAGTAAAAATACATATTGGGGTACATTAGCAATGTATGAATTAGAAATATGTATTGATCAATTATTTACACGACGTGGAAAAATTAATTTTGATTTATTTACAAAATTTTGTTCATCATTTGGAAATATTCATTCCGATGAATATATTATTCAACAAAGAATATTTGTTCATACATTAGTAACATGTATTAAATATAATGATAGAACAGAATTAGAACATCTTATTAATGATTATACTAAAATTTATTATGATAGTTGTGAAAAATATCCAACAGATATTCGACATAATATATTAGCTTATTGTATTGTATGTATCTTTCTATAATTGAAGAGTTCGAGTCTTGTATTAGATTTCTTATTATTTAATTACTAATAATTATAAAAAAAAGAAGTATTCAGAAAACAGTGACAATTTGAAAAGAGAAATTTTTAGGATTAAAAAAAGATGAAGAAATCATTTAAACTTTAGTCTTCATTGATTTTTAGTTGATAATTCAGAAAACTCACTATAATATATTAATAAAATTCTTTTTTTTTCCTGAGATATTGATCATTCAGAAATCTGAATTTTACTCTTTTTATTAACGAAATGTTGAGCAGATTTACCGGTGCTTGAACAATTCGTTACAATGGCATAATTCATATGTATTTTTTCTGCAAAGTACGATAATCTTCTTGTTCGAATAAAAAGTTAATTTATTCGAGTTATATAAATGTTGAAATTTTCCTATATCAGTGGAAGTGACATTGCATCTTTCTTTTAATTCGCGTCGCAGCTCAAGATTTCTGACAAAGGGAAAATATTTTCAAAGGACTATCGATATTTAGCGTTCATTGAAGAAGAACAGCTTTGACATTATCAGAAACAAAAAAACAATTTTTAACGAATATATTTAACTAAGCCAATTGGACTCGATCAATGATTTATATAGAGTCAGAAATAGTTTTGATGATACTTTGTAATCGAAGGTTTTTTACACCCTATTGACATTAATTATGGAGTAGAAAATGGATCCGATTTTTTTGTCTTGCTAGGATTCTTTATAGAGGCACACCTCGAGATCAAAAATCGAAGTTTAACCATTAGTAATATTTCCAAGAATTTTTATAGTCATTGAATTACATGTTTCAAACTTAATTGAATAAGTTGCTTCATTATTGAAAAATACATATAAATTATGATTGGATTATGCTAGTGCGATGAATTGTTCGATTATCAGATTTACCTAGATTTTGTGCATCTGAAGTTTGTAATAAAAAGATCATTCTATAGAAATTTCTTGTTTTTTTTTTGAATATAGGTTCGTAATCAAGCATTAATTCTCGAAGCATTAATGTCTGCTTTTTCATCTTTAAATTCGAATAGTTCTCAACTTTATATGTTACCAGTATCAAATTTATCATCATCATCATCAAAAGCATCTCTTTCAACAATACTTAATAATTATCAAAATAATAAAGATAAATTAATTAGTATTTCAACATCAATTAATTCTATATATTCATGTTCAGGTACTGAATATCGTCAATGTCGTCGTATTCGAAATATTGCTATAGCAAATCAACAAAAACAAAATCCAAATCAATGTTTATCTAATCAAGATACTAGTAGTTCAAATTCTCGAACAACAAGTCAAAGATCACGTCCACGTTTATCACGTTTTTGGCGTGCAATTCGTTTATTTCAATTAGGTCTTCGTCATCGTCATCAAACAAGTCAATATGTTCAACAAATAAATAATTCTGATCAAGATGATCGTCGAACAACTACAGGTGTATCACTTGGTACAATCGAAGAAAATGAAAATATATTTCATCGTGCTGATCTTGAAATTGCTGAACCTGTTTATAATGAATTATCAACAACAATACCTATAGTACCTCAACCTGTTTTTATTTCTTTTTCTAATAATGATCAAAATGATGATGAATATGATATACCACCAGTTAATGGTCAAACTTTATGTAAATTTCTTTGTATTCATTTCTAAGGTTCTTTTTTTTTTCTTCTTCCTTAGTACATATCGCAGCAAAACTACCTGGTCATGAAGATGTTGTTCGTGTATTAATTGGTGAAAATAGTACAATGACTTCAATAGTTAATTCAAATGGACAAATTCCTTTACTTTGTGCTATTCAAGCAAGTAGTACATTCACAGGTAAATCTATATATTTAAATAAATTTAAATTCAATTCTAACAAAATCTGTTGTTGTTGTTTTATATTTCAGCTCAATTATTAATGGAGGCAGATCCTCAGTCATTAATAACAGTTGATAATAAAAAATCAAGTATTTTTCATTATTGTTGTGAAAATAAAAATGATGTTCTTCTTGCAAATATATTAAATCTTTTACGACATTTAAATTCACATCAATCTATTCGAGTTCAAGTATATCAAAAACAAAAAAACAAATCATAATTGATAATTATTTACTTTTTCTCTTTTCTTATCAATAATAGGTATTACAAAAATTAACTGAACCAAATATAGATGGACAAACACCATTTTCTATTGGTAAATTTTTATTGTAAAAGACTAAACAAATATGTACATAAAGAAAATTAGAACGTTAGTAGAAATTCGACAATGTATTGATTATTTCCTGTCATATCAAAGATATTTAATTAAATTTAAAAAGAATTGATCGAGCTACAGATACTGATTTTCGATCGGTTTGATAAGGATATCAGTATAGGTCTTCTCTTCGTTCACATTCACACCCTGGTGAATCACCGTCCTAAATCGGATTGGTATCATATTGAAAGGATTTCAGAATAAGACTCAACGAAAAATAGGCGGTACTGATCTACTCATAGATGTAACCGGCCGGTCTGGTCCAATACCGATCCGGATTTTAGACCGACCGATCGATCAATCTACCAGTACAGCTATAATAGATTGATTCTTACAATGAATTTTTTTTAATAGTGAACTCTCCCAAGTTACCAAATTAGATCACGAATCTGAAATATCTCATAAATATGATCTCATCGCACTATCACAAGACAGTTATTGTTTCTGATACTCTATCGTAACAAAACATGCACTGTCTTTATTGACAATAATAATAATAATTGATTGATATTGACAGTGATGTTTTTCTGAACCGAAAACTGCCTATTAAATATTTGTACACAACTCTTCAGCTATTTCAGGTTCTTGATCTAAGTTGTAAGCTTGGGAGAATTCACTATTAAACAAAATTTCATTAGAAGAATCAATCTACTATCGTTGTTCCAGTTCACACTGATAAATCGGCAAAAAACCGGTAGATCGGTTCATCTATAGATCTACTGAATCTGAATAATTTGATCATTATAAATTGTTAATATGTTACGGGATAAGTTTCTATGAGTGGTCAATAGCTCTTGCAGATTACATCGGATGAATTTTACGTATTTAGTTGACTATGCAATCAAAAAGGGAAACATATTGAAAGCAATAGACGAATGAATATAATCATCGTAATTGATTCGACCCTACTGAATTTAAATTAAACTAACTAATATGTTGAACTGATAGATATTGTATTTTGTTATTATTTTCAGCATGTAATAATGGTAGTATAAAATGTTTAAAACAATTATTTAATTCAAAATGGTTATTACGACATATTCAATTATCAAATTTAATAACATCAGATGGAATTAAAAAATGTATTGAACATGATCAAATAGATATAATTAATTATCTTGTTAGTGATCTACGTCGATTTCGTATTATTATATCAATATTAATTGATGTTATTTTTACTGAACCAGTATATCCATCAACAGATATGGTTGTTGCAAAACGACAATATAATGTTCTTGAATATGCTATTTTATTAAATAAAACAGATTTTGTTAAAGTATTTGTGAGTGTTACTGTACCGAAACAAATAGAAAAAAAACCAAATGTTGATGAAAATTTAGCTGTTGTTAGAAATAGTAATAATATTGTTACACACGAACCTGTATTACATGAGGAATATAAACAATTTTTAACACGATATTCACTTCCATTTACACATGATCGGTTCAATCAAATGCCGGTGAGAATTTTTATATACATAAATCAATGATTATGAAGGAACAGTTCTTTTTCTATATGACTTGAGACGAAGAAGTTTTTTTTTTTTGTAAGTATTCTTTAGTGATAGTTCCGTGCAAAACGTATTGAAATCGATAATATTCTGGCATTCATTGATAATTTTTTTTTTGGACTCTTGAAAATAATATGGAACTGAAAAGCAAATGTTTTTTTAGTCGAATAAATTCAGATGAAGTTATCTAACTAGGGAACCTATTCGACCTCATATTATGCCTACAAATAGGTTCTAGTGACATTAAGAAAAACTTAATAGGATTCGGGCTCATGATCTACTGACGAAGAGTTATGGTCGTGTTAATGGAACTTTTATTGAGAATAAAGTATTTCCGAAAAATCCAAAACAAAGAGTTTCGACCTGAAGTCTTGGATATTGACACGTTTGATAATCTTGAAAATTTCAATGAAAACAAATATGTCTTTCTCAAGATACTCAATATCCAAAAAACAACAACAGGAATTAATTACACAAAGAAACAGTAATTGAGTCTACTTGGTTTCAAGAAATACATGTTTATTTTTGTTGAAGATTTCAGATCTAACAAAGGTGCCAATAGACAAAAGTTCATCTCGAACAGTGGTGTACGTAGGGAGGAGCCGAGAGGGTCCGAGCCCCCTGAAGAAAAGTTCCCTGTTGGGGAGTACGAATAAAAACGTACTACGGTACAAATTTTTGAAAAAATCCATTACGGACCTCTTCCTGAGAACCTGGGCCCCCTCTCATGGAAAATTTCTGCGTACGCCACTCATCCCGAAATTTTTTATTGTTTCGAATTTTTCAAAAATATCTTACTCTCACTAGAATTTTCATTAGTTAGTCATTGGTTGGAATACCATTAAGTTGTTCTAAATCTTAGCAATATCTAGTCTTAGCTATAATGTAAAGTCGTACGATGTCCGATAGATGGATATGTTTCCCTCGTAAGATTTGCAACGATATTATCATATGTTTTTCTAATATTTGTTTTTTTTTGAAATATTTTATTAAATAGATTCAACGTATGTTGAAAATTCCATCATTAGTTCCATTTGTACCAAATTTACTTGAACAATTTCTTGATGATGATGGTATAGATTTATCAGTTATCGATGATTGTCTTTGTTCAAAACCAATATCATCACAATGTATATTTGGTCAATATGGTTCTATCTATAATACAAATAATAATATAAATAAAAAATATAAATTTAGAAAAACTAATTGGGTAAAAGAACATCCTCTTAATTTAATATCTGAATGTGATTATGCACCTTTATATGATCATCCACTTGTTATTACAACTGTAGATAGTAAAGCAAATTTATTTGGTAATATTCTTTCTTTATTTATTATTTTATTTCAAACACTTTATGTTGCTTTATATACTGGAGTAACTATTATTACACGAACACCAAGATATTATGGTTATTCTTATATTGATTTTGAAAATGATACATGTATTTATATGTGTAGTGTAGTAACAAATACAACATATCATTTTGATTATACAAATCATGGAACATTTGTTTTATTTATGTTTCGTTTAATATTATTTCTATATTCATGTATTGCTTTATTAAAAGAATTTATACAAGTTTTAACACAACGTCGAAGATATTTTCAAGCATTTTTTCTTAATCTTTTAGAAATTTTAACTTATTCATGTGGAGTTATATTTACTATAGGTACAAAAAAAAAATAAGAAAATAACAATAACATAAAATTTTTTTTATTTATATTTAGATACAAATACTTGTTCGAAATATTCTAGTATTCGTTGTAAATATCAATATGATTTTGGTGCATTAGGTGTTGCATGTGT